TATATATATAGAGTTAGAAATACTTTTTTATTATACGCAGCTAAAAAAGAAACCAAAACTATGTGCCTATAAATAGGTTTTCCATTATGTGAACACAACAATAAGGAGCATTTTGAAACAATCCAATAAAAGGGATTGTCAGTTTCATAAAATTAAATTAATGTCATGTTATCTGTTATTCCGCTTTATTTGGTACCATCAGTAGTCTTTGTTTTTGGGGCTTATGTTTTAGTTTAACAATAAATATTGTAATAGTTCTACATTTCTAGAAGTATATTTTAGGCAACAAAAGAATAGTTAATTTGTAATTTTTCTTTATAACAATAAACCTGTGTCCACCAGGTGTGAAGTAAGGTGGACTCCATCTTACTTCACACAATTTTTTAAAATAGTTTCTATCATAAAATGAGTCACAAAATTATTACCGTGCACTTTAGAAACATTTGCTTGTSTATTTAAACTTGTTATAAAGTGCTGCAGGCAAAATAATAATATTCAAGTCATTTGATGAAGTGAAAATGCGTTAGTAATTTAATTCATTTATAACTCTGCAAAATATAAAAAATGGAGTTGCAAAAAACCAAAAAGAACAACCTTATATTTAGTTTAAATCTTCACAGAACAGTGGGCTGGACTTTGAGTTAGCTGCAAGCCTCACTGCTTCTGCAACTTGGCAGAACTGAAGGATTAGTTTTGTGTTTTGTGGGCAATTATGTGGATTTCCTCCTTGAGATCAGCTGAGGAAGGAGGGGAGGAGTGGTGCAAACCAAAATGAAGCCTCTGAGTTAAAATTAGGCTGTAAAAAAAGCTGCAAAGGAGTGATTTTAACATTTTAGGTGGGAAAGTGGGAAAATAAACTGGCAATTAAGATAAAGAGGAAACAAGGCTTGACTGTAGTTGTTCTCAGAGCTGTCATTGTAGCTGGAAAAGTTATTTTGGGAGGGATTATTTTAATTATGTGTATTTTGAAATTGCTTTTAGTGATGTTAAAGATGCTCAGATCTGTGATACTGCTTGTGTGATTCTATTTGGTGAAACTTTAATTTGACTAATCTGAAAATAAAACATTAAAATGAATATAAGTAGTTCATTATGCGTCTCAGAGCTGCTTTTCTCCCCTGATCCCAGAGGAGGTTTTGCCCTTCCAGCTCCCTCGTCTCTCCCCCCTGACATTTTGAATGCAAATGWATCTGCTCATATTTCCTCCTCAGATGGTGACAACTGCAGCTGGAGTAACATGAAACACGATTACTGACTAGCAGCATCATTATAGATCAACCTTATCAATAAAATCTGTTTTAAAAGTTTGTTTTAAACAGCCTTAATTGACATTGTACTGATTAATTTTAATCCTAGCTTATTTTCCACACAATCTTTAAATAAACGGTTGAAATTTCATAGCTCACAAGGTGTAAAAGGTCAAAAAATGTTTAGAATAGGGTAGAGTAATTTCAATTAATCTCTACCACATATTGATTTCAGTTTTGGATGCCCAGCTGTCTTTTTCTTCCCAGTTGTGTTTTATTTTTATCTGTTGACACATCGATCCATCTGYGTTTTCTCTCTGTTCAGAGACGTGGTGCTGAAGCTGCTCCAGTTTGAGGCATCGACGAATGTGGCCGACAGCAAAGGCTGTTTCCCGCTACACCTGGCTGCGTGGCGGGGGGATGTGGACATCGTTCGTATCCTCATAAATCATGGTCCTTCGCACTGCCACGTCAACCAGCAGGTACTCACAAGTGTCCTTAAACCCTGCAGCGTAGCCGTGGAGTCCGGACTTTCCTGAAACTCCACTTATATTTTACTTCTTCAGCTCAATATGAGGCTATTTCTCACTCCTGTGGTGGTCTCAATTGATAAATACTGAAACAGGAAAAAAAGTAGCTGGTTTCTTGCGAAATATTGACAGATGTCTACTGTAGGAGTCTTTAAGAAGCAAAGTTTGAATGATWTAAGCTTTAAACCTGTTCAAGCTTTGTGGGCTTTTTATTTTCTTGCTGTGGTTTTTCATAGTTTTTGTCTGGAACACACGACACATTCAATAGACTCAGCATAAAATTTAATGAAGGGGCTACTGCCCATCAGACCGGTCTTTATGCTACTGAGCTCATTATAATCCAGACTGTTTACATGTTAAATGGCAAAACTGCAACTCTGCTCCTGTTCCCAATCAGCTCGGCTGCAGTTCCTGTTGCTGTATTTCTCAGAGCTTGTAAACCGATGCTTGTGCAGGTCGCGTTATCACGGCTTCTGTCCAATCGAGCTGATCCCTTACAGCTTCCAGTGATCCGTCTCTGACAGGCTGGTGAGCGTTTTAGCTCTGGGAGCATTCAGCCTGCCRCTCCTGTCATTCCTTATCAGCAGAAATGACCCTCTCCACCCTCCCCTTTCGTTTTTCGTCTATCTTTGCTTGCAGCATATTGATGATGTCACGTTTTACTGATGCACTGCAGCTGAGGATGAGCAGAAGCCACACAGGAAGAGATATTAAAGCAGAGGTTGGATTTATGCACGTGTGCGTACTCTTTTTGATGACGCAGGTTATTGAAGTGGTATTTATCTTAACTAATACGCACATTTTCCTCTGTCATCATTAGCTAAATCGGTTTCCTCTAAGAGCTGCTGGGCTCTAATTGCTTGCCGTGATAAATGATCTACCTTGACCCTGAAATGAAGAGGTTAGTCAGCAAGTGCGCATGGGTAATTCTCGTTTTTTTTTACACTGTCAATGATTTGTCTAGCTGAGCGAAACACTGTGAGCCACACCGACTGAAAGCTGCTGATGCTGGAGATGTGGTGCAGAGATGCTGACCTCTGGGTGCAGTCAGTATGTTGTGGTGCCTTTGTGCTCTTGGGCCTCCTTTTTGTTCAGAGCAATGCACAGTAAAGATGAAGCTGTTTTGAAGAAGGGATATACTCTAATTAACATGGATGAAGTGGTGATTTCATATTGAAGGGGAGAACAATCCTGTATTTAATGAAAAAATACTTTACTCAAGCAGCTTGAGATTTTCAGTGAGCTGAAATTTGAGGATTAAGTCAAATTTGGTCAAAATGACCTCAGCAGATTTTCAGATTCCTATTTGATATCTGGATCATCCTGATATTGTGAGCCAGTCCAGAGATATTCTTTGATTTGTCTTCTCAGTCACAATAACTCATTGATATTTTGTCTGAATCCTATTTTTAGTTTATTCTAATGAATGTTTTGACATCAAAATAAAAGGGAAACCTCAGATTGTATTTGGATATTGAGATTTCCTAGCTGGAAAGGAAAAAAGCTTAACTAGCTTGCATGGAACATAAACATTTAAGGCTTTTTTTTGCTTAAAATCATGTTTTAAAAGTGCCTCAAAATTTTCTACAAGATTATATTTCAGATTTTTAATTTAAATGACTAATAAATAAGGTAATTATTCATTTTATTTTGACAAAAAATATAATTATTGCAAGTGTTTTAATGAATGCACTATAGTGGTCTATTTCTCCATATAACACTTTGGAACTTGATCCTCGGTTTGATGTGATGTGTCACATATCTCCTTTAAAATCCAGAAAATGCTTGAAATGCATAAAACAATATGAAAAGTGGAAGTACACAACAGCATGAAACTYTGAACTTTTGTCAAACTTAAAATGAACTAAATGAAAAACAAATCAAAGGTTTTATTCCAAAGTATCATCAGTTTGGATAGACATTAAGTAAGGAAAACATCACATTATTAGTMTTTTTTCAGGATTTTGAAGACATCTTTAAGTTTTAACAAGCTRCAGTAATTCTCAGGAGGTAAAAYCACATCGATGGATGGATGGATGTTRCTAAACACCAAGTGCCAAAACCTTCACTTTAAATTGTCAAAAAGGGGTTCAACATCAATGGTGCCCTTGTTAACTTTATAACTTCAACTCATTRAACATTTCTGTGTAAGAAAACATGGTTGTTTTAAGGTTACAGGCATAATTCAGTGAGTAAAGATTTATGAATTGTTTGTGTTTACGATGCCCGGGTTCTATATTTTCCTGTGTGCAGCTCCACTCCGGACACACAAACATTATTCAGGGTGATATATTTGGTGTCACACTCAGACCCATCATTGAGACATAACAGGAGCGAGCCTCGACAGTACATTCCTCTACCCTCTCATTCTGACATAGAAGACAAATAAAACATTTGTCCTTACTGTTCGACTCGATGGCTGTGAAGGATGCAGCAGCGGGGTAAAACAAGTTGGAAAATTCAGACAGTTAAAAGAAAAATGTTTTGAGGTGTTTTTGAAACAAAGCAGCAGAAGTGCGTAGTGAGGTCAGCGCCGCTCTGCAGTCAACAGATCATTATTAAAGTCTAGTGGATGTTATTAGTTGGTGGCTAAACAGTTCCAACTCACTGTTTATTTCTTAATTGTTCCCAGTTGTTTTCATTCCACTGTTTCTGTTTATTCAAAGAGCGCGAGGGCATGAGAGGTGCAGACTGTTTAACTCAAGGAGATGATTTGACATGTTTTTTTTTTGTGCACGAGATGTTTGTGTGCAAGAGAAACGGTTGGACAGTGATTGATGGTGAAAGATTGCTTGTTTACTCAAAGCTTGCTCTCAGCCTGTGAGGCTCACGCTTGTTTTGAAGATTGACGAGTTGTTGTGATCTCTCTTTCTGCCACTCATCTTGCTCACTTAAGCTCATACCGCAAAAATTATTTTGTTTTATATATTTATGCAGGAAAATTCTGTTCTTTTTAAACTAACAGTATTACTTATCTAATTTCMTAAAATTGATCCTGCTAATATATGTAGCTGTTTTTTAATAATACCTCAATGTCTGATGCCCATTTTACACTCCTGCTCTAATTTGGTCTTTAATTAACTTACTACAGTGTAGTAGAAATAGAGCAAGCAGTACCACAAAACAACCCCCACTTTGTGTACGCAACAAAATTATTTGCTGCTGTACTTGTACGATGTCTTCAAAAGTTTAACTAACTGCATATTATGTAGTCACCCTTCACAGTTAAAAATAGAAACAGTTTTTTAGGTGGTCTGATGTCCCGAGTTATTAGTTAACTTAGGATAACTTATCAGCCATTTTTATTATCTGGTGTTACTGGCTGCAGAGCATATATTAAATCAGTACCTCTGCAGCAAATGACTGTAAATCTCATCAGTACTGCCCAGACGCCTTGGATGTTCTGCTGTCCTTTTCACCAGGTGACATTGATTGTTGCAGTCTCCATTTGTTGGCAACATTATATAAAAACAATCCGAGGAATGTGTGAATGATGATGGCTGAGTGAATTTGCAGAAACTTGCTGTTTAAGCTAAAACAAAGATGAAGCCAAAAAGAGAACAACAAATGAAGAGGAGCAAATTGGTAGAGAAATGGTAAAAAGAGCAACTTCTTGCTAAAAGTAGCAAAAGCTAGTAGTATTGAAATAGTAGCTACAAGCTGATTGTAGCAAAACAAGCTAAAAATAAAATGGCAGTGAAAAACTAACAATAACAGAAGTCTAGCTTAAGGTATTGTGGGAGGACTAAATCAGAACAAGTATGCAGAAGCAAATTCATAAGGAACTGAAGAGATCTTAATGTATTAATTTTTTTTAATTCCCCATATAAAGTTAAATAATTTGAAAAGTATGCTATAAAAACAGTCATTTTGCACTGTTTCTAAGTTGAACATTTTGCTATGACTGTTAAAAGTTGCACTAAAAATGCAAAAGTAGACAAAAATGTAGAAAAAGCAAAATGATGTGAATTTTTAACTCAACATTCACAAAATAAGTTGAATGAAATTTGGTGAAGAGTCGGAATATTAGTTTTGAATTGTGAATTACAGCTTTTACCTTGAGAATGTGATGTCTGTGCACTTGTTTTCCTGTCATTTATCCGTGATGAAAGATGAAGAATGCATATTTTTGTACTTGAACATGTGAGCTTTGCAGCACAACAAGAACAGTGCAGCTCTTAAATCAACACATCCACACAGTGCAGTAACCGCCTGGAGAAAGGCTCTATATATACGATGTGTTGTGACAGTGWAAGGGACAGCTGGGACCTGCAGACTTGTCCACTGATGCTGTGTAGATGTGGTGCTTGGGAACCAGCAGCCTCTGGGTTAGTCAGTCACAGGGTCAGTGTGTGTTCCCTTCTACATCACGTATGTATTACCATGTTACAGAAATGTTATCTTTCCCAACAGGAGATGGTGCAAGGTTGTAGTATTACTTATTCTCATTTGATCCCCTAAAGGAGCTCAGCAGCATAAGAAAGGTCCTTCTGGGAACTTGTAGACTAAACAAGTCAAAGGTCATGAGGTTTCTTCTCTTCCACTTTTTATTTAATTTTTTTTTCTGTGTCTGTGCGTATTCACCTTACATGCTTAGTAATTTAATGCCTCATCACAAACTCATGTTGCTACCACACAACAAAACGAACCCATATGTTTCCTGATGATGAACATGTGAACCCTGCCTGTCTGAGAACACGCAGAGAAACCGCTCTGGGAAAGTCCGCACTCCAAAGGCCACTGCCTCGCAGGCCGATGCCAAAACACACAGTCACACTGAGCAGTTGGATGTTTTATTATGAGTAATCTGTGAAAAGATGGGAAATCATATGTTCTCCACAGCCAGGCTCATGATGGCAGTGTTTTTATTTTAATTAATGTTAAGCAAAAGAGAGCCGTTTCATTTCTACATGGGTCAAACCAAATTACAACTCTGCGTGATTATTACAAGATGAGGGCAGATTGTGTGCGAGGTTGTTAATTGAGGTATTGTATAGAAACATATCTAACATTTAAAAAAGCATTGTAGCTTTTAGTTTGTGGTTGTGTAATTAAAACCACTTCTGGTTTTTCTCTCTGCAGAGATGTCTGTTAAAACTTCAGCTGTAGACCTACATAGACTTCAGTTTCCTACCACTCTCTGGATATAATTCTTTATCATGAATTTCATCTATTCATACACGTTTCACTGTCTTTTCAACACAGGTGAAGTTGTGATAAAATGTGCTTTGTTTTAGATTTTAATTATGTTTTATTGTCAGTGAATTAATGAAAAGTACAGTATGATTCAACACTACAATAAACCACTTAGGTCTTGTCTTAAAGTGCAAAACTTGCATCAACACCTAAAAAAAACTAAATCAAAACCCATTCTGAATGAAATGTGAWCCAAACTGGATCCATCTTTAAAAGCTGGAGTCAAAACTCTCAAGTCTGATTTCACAGCTGATTGCAATTAAGTCAATTCTGATGAGTTGTCAAAACAAATCTCATCAAATGTAACATTTCCCACCATTTTCCTTGTGGTTGCGTGACTCAGATAATCCCTTGTGATTGCCAGGAGAGTTGGTTAAATACATCCACCTTTTCTGAGTGAACAAACTTGGTCCATTGTATCAATATTTCATCCTAAAACTTGGCTAACTTTCATGTTAACACAAGGAATGCTTTAAGCTTTAATTCTACATTTCTTTCTTTTTAGCATCATTTGTGTAACAGCTGTACATAATTTTTTTTATTTTGTGTTATTTAAAATCAAAAGAAGTAGTAAAGTGAAATAGGTGTTATTACTGTCACCCCTCTCACCTCCRTTTCTTTATTCTTCTCTTTGTTTGAAGCCAGTAAACAGATTATATTATCTTGTCTTCTTCTGTCTTCAATTATGTACTCTGTTTTCTCCAAGTCAGGCGCAGAGCTCCCAGGATTATGAGCAGAATTAATGCAGATGGAGCTCATCCTGTGTATCAGTCCATCAGCTTTAGCTCAGTTTACGCTCAAACAAATGCCTCTGTGCACCACCTGCTCTGATTTAATTACAGCCCCTGTCTGATAGGCTTGTTTGTTTCGTGGACATGTTTTTGGTTCCATGGAGGAGAACTATGATAGCACTAGGGATGTTAACCACAGGTGAGGTAGTTTTGTTTTTGCAACTGTTTGTAAATGCGTTACAATTACAGTACATGACAGGGAAATGTGTAGTGTATAAGACTGTTTAGTAAGAAAAAATAGTTTTTCTTCCTTAAACTCTATTAAAAGCATGCACTGTTAAAATAAGCTATATCTGTCCAACTCATAACATTTAACCATTTTATAAACCACCACAAATAGTTCATCACAACAAGCTGAAAGCTCTTGACGTGTGCCGACATGCCTGTTGATGTGGCTTTAGTAGATGGCTGCTGCTCAGTGACCAATAAGCAACACAAAATGCAYTCAGTGTTGGGGTATTGGAAGGCTATCAGAGTGGGTGTAATGGAAATATATATCTTTCTCAGAAAATGCAGAGGAATGATTTATTTATTTTTTTACAACTTCCTCGCCACTTTTTCTCTTTCTGATCAAGCTGTGTTTGAGATCATCTCATTGGGCCTCATGCAAGAAC